CCCCCGCCTCCCAACTCCAACCCCCCGTGGCAAAAAACATGCGGTTCTATATGTGAAGGAAGTGAGGCAGGATGAGTCACGTCAGAGAAGGTGGAGGAGTGAAGAGCGAGCGCCTGACAGCTCATCTAACAAGATGATCAAATGGCCCCGGCGTGAGTCACAGCGAGCCTCCGGACTTTGATTCAGCAGAGTCTCTCGCTCCATTGTGAAAGGCGAAAACTGAATTCACGGAGGGCTTTATTCACATTTTCCACACGCCGGCTGGATTCACACATTTTGATGTCAACAAACTGGAAGATTACGTCTCCTTCCGTTCGATTGGACTTCTTTTTTTCTTATGTGTCACGACGCTGCAATGGGGACGCGAATGACACATCTCACGAGACCCAATCTGAGAGCCACGTTTGCGCCGTCATATACGCATATTTTTTTAGAATTGATTATGCGACAGATTATCCCACTGCGTCATCGGATTAAAAGTGATTTTGCGTGATTAAACAACTATTAGTGTTTGCCTGGTGAGTGCCGTGGGAGTCGCAGATGAGCGTGTAGAGGTGGCTGTTGTGAACTCAAGGTGGCTCGTGTATGTGGGCACCTAAAACAGGCAGACGTTTGACAATTTCATCATCGGCATTACCGATTAGGCAGATTGGATCTGGTGACACGGTGAAGGGGTACCTAATCAAGTGTCTGGCGAGTGTATCCAAGCGACGAGCACTCAAAATAAAAGCCAGACGTGGGTGGCGTCGGGCCTGTGCGAGCAGTCATGATGGATGTGCGGCTCCTGGAAAGCGCCGTGGAGAAGTCCAACGCATATGCGCGAAAGAACACACGCACACATCCTGGACGACCCTCGTCTGGTCTTTGATGACGACTTGAACCACCTTGAGTGGGAGCGTGCTCGCTGGCTCCGTGCGCCCGAGTCACGAGCGGCTGCGACATTCCCACGCGGCACGAAAAATAGGAAGACTGGCAAATAAGGCGCAGATGAGCCGGAGGAGGGCTGACATATAACAAGGTGCGAAAGCGCATGTGTGCGTGTAATGAGACAGCGCAACTCATCCGGCAAATGAAACCCACACCAACCTACAACACAGGAGGCGACACGGATGACAAACTGGGTGCATGCGTTATGTACACTAAGAGAACAGACCGTCCGCCAAATAAAACCCCAAACGACATCATACATGTACACAACACAGTCTTAGAGAAAAGTTTCGAAACTGGGCCATCACCCGCCACTCAATCTGACTCGGACCGGTTCTGAGGCGTGTGACAGACAAGAAGTGAGGAATATGAGCAAGAGCGGCACGGAAAATGAGAAACAGAAGTCATGATGTCCACCCGGTTGTTTGCCAGGAAGGCTAACGTCATTTTATGAACCATCTTTTTCTTTTTTTTTTTTTTTTGTCATAAAGTTCTTTTCCATCCTGAGAAATGTGTCCGTCTTCAGAGGTTTAACACTGTCATAAAATATACTGCTGGGGGGAAAAATAAAAAATAAAAAATAAAAATCTAAATGCCTGCGCGTGTATACAATGGTTGCTAACCGGTTAGCCGCTAACACCTGCACGCAATATTGTGGGAATCACAATGGCTGAGGAGATGTTCGCAATTCATTCAGTGTCATCCATTTTACCCTACCAGGGGAAAAAAAATAAAAAGCGTACATAAAAACGGATCTGGGATTGAATGTTTGGATTCTTAAAAGACATAAAAATGTGTCTCCTGGGTATTGAATTAGTCTTAATATTGTGGTTTCTTCCAACCCAGCCGCTGGGGGGCAGTGCCCTCCCCTGGGGGTGCACTGTTCCCCAGTGCCGGTCCCAAGCCCGGAGAAATGGGGAGGGTTGCGTCAGGAATGGCATCCGGCGTAAAACTTTTGCCAAGACGACCATGCGAGTTGGTAGGACGGTTTACAGGGGCGGATGGAAATTACTGACTCGCTGTGGCGACCCCTGAATAGGGACGTGCCGAAAGGAGAAGAAGAAGAAGAAGAAGATTGTGGTTTCTTCCGAAAGGCAACCGGCAAACTTTGTCACAGAGAACACATTTGAATAAACATACAAGCCTTTCAACCATTCTAAAAAAAAAAAAAATCGATAGCTGACCTGAGGGCGCGGCTGAGCTTGTCGTAGTTCATCTGCGGCTTACACTTGCGGGCGCCCCACAGACGGGCCACCTCGTCCGGGTCCTTGATGACAAACTCGCCGTAGTCGCCCTGCCAGGCGATGACGTCGTGGTACTCCTCCTTGCGCAACAGTTCGAGGATAAAGTGCCACAGCTGGATCTGCCGCGAGCCCGGGCTCGACTCGGGCTTGTAGGCCCACTCGGGGAAGGCGAACCCTGCGAGTGGATGACAGACAAGAAGGGAGATCAGGTGGAAGGTCGATGAACCACGAGGGGCGAAAGTGACCTTTAAATGACATTCAAGTCGGCACCAGCAATGAACGTTAATCCAAAATCAATTCTTATCAGATTATTCCATCAAAAGAACAGTCAATAATAAAAATATTCAACAGCATTTTTGTTGTGAAGCCTATCCTGAGCCATTTGTTGAACCAAGATGGCTCCAAAGCCTTGGCTCAGAGGAGAGTAATAACCGCGTCGGCGTATGTTGAAGTGAGACATGTCAACTGACGTATTAAAATCTTTCTATGCTATGCTAATAGTAACAACCAGAAGACTGCATATTCTCTGTTGAACGATTTAATGGCTGCCAGGATGATCGAGACATATCCGCGGAGCATTTTTCTGCTGAAGAAGGCCTGATCCGTCCAAACTGGTTTCTACTCTTACAACCGTCTCGGTGACTCAGCGTACAACTCTTGCGAGTCGCGACTCCAGAATCTTAATTCTTGCAGCTGCTTTCTCAGCACCACAATAGCTGGAACGTAACGTGCTGACTTTGCCTCGGCTGCCGGGAATAAGTCGGGCTGGCCGCCACCGAGGGCGGTTTCCACTGCAGGTCGCGGTCGCATCACCGGCATCGCGCTACTATCGCCGCCGAATGGACGGCGTTCAAACGGGTGGACCTTGGCCATGGTGCAGACAAAATATAAGCACGCGGGCGCTGTAGCAGTAAAAGACTCAACATACGGTTCTCGGTGTCACACACACACACACACACACACACACACACACACACACACACACACACACGCACACGCACACGCACACACACACACACGCACACGCACACCTAATTAAAACCAGATGTGCTTGGCACCCAGGCTCAGCGCTGAGGTTAGGAAACATATGGGCACAATATAACAATAATGCTTTCTCTCTGCAAAGTGTGTGTATGTGTGTGTGTGTGTGTGTGTGTGTGTGTGTGTGTGTGTGTGTGTGTGTTGAAGAAAAGCCCCATGGCAAGCGCTTGGTTGCAATCAGTTTCCCATTTTCCACAAACTGTGTCATATCAATATAACATCATTAGCTATGACACACACACACACACACACACACACACACACACACACACACACACACACACACACCCATAGTCAGATATGTCACACGGGCAGGTAAGTGTACACATCTGGTGCACTTAATTGGCTTGTAAATTATTTGGGCCAATGTCATAAAAGCCGACGGAAACATGAAAAAAAATATTTAAAAATTTAAAAAAGAGAAAAAAGTTACATACACCTGGCAGACAGAAATGGCCCCCCCACACAGTCCAAAGGTATCACAATATGGGGCGCAGATGGCCAATAAAATAATTACGAGCTTACATATTTTGGCATGCAACGACTTGTCATTTATGACCATATCGGGAAAAGCCGAAAAGAAGTACCGGGGAGCTCGCCAGGTGATGGAAAACCATTTTGGCCCCACGTGGGTCAAATGCACACAGTCATTAATTTTTTTTTTTTTTTTTTGCACCCAAGTCCGATTCATCTGATTTTGAGGATCGACCCAAAAGGAGTCTCGATCTGATAGCTCGGCGATATATGAGGGGAAATTTTTCTCTCAAAATGAAACCTCTCATAAAGCGAGTGAAGCAGTGTTGTATGAAGCAAATAAAACATTTAAATCCATTCATTATTTTTTTTTCCAGGTGGCGTGTTTTTTTTTTAACTAATTGATTAATCATTTGGGAGAAACATATCATTATGGACAAAAAAAATGTGTGTGGTTTTGAAAACTATTTTCCGGAAATCAAACCATTTTTCATGTAATAAGTATCGAAACTTAGTATCGGTGACTTGAACTCATACTTTATCGAAAAACAGTGGTGTCTGTTCGTCCCCAGAGTAGAAGTGCGTGCTTGCGAGCGTGTGCGTGGCTGTGTGCGCGTGCTGATTCGGCACATTCTGCCTGCACGACACCGATTTACGTAGCAGCTCATTTACAGCTTGAGCAAGCAGCGGCAGGACTCCCTCCTTATCAACATCGGTACCATAACGGCGGGGATAAAGGGCGATGTCACACACGTCGCTTTGCAGAGCGAGGGCTAACCGGGTTAGCGGGAGTAATCCTTCGCAAGTGAGCACACGCGGAGTATCAAATGAAAGAATGAGAAGAACTAACTCGATGCATATGGGACCGTCCTCATATTTTGGTGAAACAGTCGAAAAATGTGATCCACTTTCCCGTGCAGGGCAAATTTAAACATATTCAAGCTGCCTGATTGTCCGCTGTGATTGGCTACGAGTCAGCCGCGAAACTCATGAGGAAAAGCACGATTAAAAAAAAATTGTAGCTAACAAATCGTCTTAATGGGGGTAAAAAAAAATGTTCGTCCTGGCTTGGGTGACACATTTTACTATTTAAAAAAAAACAAAAAAAAAAAAACAGCAGACGCAGCATCATCGACAACTAATCGGGCTGAACAAATAGATAATGAAGTGATGATGGACAAATGATCTGGAAACAATGTTTGATTGTGTCGTCGTGACCATAGCATTAGATACGCTTGCGCAATCCATTTTGATTAAAAAGATAATTTAAAAAAAAAAACAAAAAAAAAAACAACGGTTTCAATTTTCAGTCATTTCCACATTGCGAATCGAATTTCAAACGGATCACGAGTGCTTTAAAACAATCCAAGTACAATTTGGAAAATGTCAAAGCCCATGAGCAATCAGTTGTGAAAAATAGTGCTAACTCAAAAACTTCAGTCGAGTCAAAGACACAAATGTCATTTTTTTGGGACTCGGCAGGCCAAAATGACAAAGAAACTAATACAATATGTATCATGAGGAGCTGAAAATGGAAGACTCTCGACTTTTTCCCCGACTTCGATACCAGAAAGGAGGACACTGATCATGGACAATGCAAAGCGCCCGCTGCACAGCACCATGTCGAGGCAGAGAAGCAGCTTCAGTGACAGGCCGCTGTCGCCGCCCTGCTCGAATGACAGCCTGAGGAAATCCTTTGTCCCTCACGCCAAGCGGCTTTTAAGCGGCTTTCTATTCGTTGATTTATTTCTCCGAGCAACCATCCGTCTAAATGAGGGAACAGGAACGAGCGCGGTGAGTCAGCCCGCAGACAATGAGGTTCTTAGAAAAACATCTGTCAATGGGGACCAATCACTCGTGCGCACGTGCCCGTATCCGCGCATGTCTCACGTTCAAGCGCCGCCGTGGGCGAGCCGCACGCATACGGCAGGTGAAGTGGGCGAGGTGTGCTCAGGCGTGGGCGCGCGGAGCACATGCGCAACGAACGCAAGGATAGTGAACACGCCCACGCCAGCGAGCGCATCCCCACTGACTCACGCCGTGTCGGCTGTTGTCGTCCGCCGATTGCGCCTCCCACCTTTGTTACCATCTCCCTTTTTTCCCTTTCACGACGGCCCGCCCGCCCGCGCGCCGCCTGACCGAGACGCAGTCGCCTGGCAACGCAAGCTTTTAAAGCGCTAAAAATAAATAGATGACTCACGACGAGATGGGATTCAATTATAGGGAAAAAAATAATACAAAATAAAAAAAAATCAAGTTGTTGGGAGGAGTTTGTGGAGTTTAGGGGGGCAAGCCAGCAGATCAGCTCACGTCTGGATACAGAACTGGACAAGTCCGACAAAAAAAAAAAAAAAAAAAGCTACAAAATTTGTTTAGGATTCAAAACAGTCCCAGTCGGTTGTATTTCTATACATATGCGGCTCATTCATCAAGCACTATTGCAGCAAAATGGGCTAAAAGTGGACACTTAAAAAAAAAAAAAAAAAAAACAGCTCATGAAAATACTTTTTAATATCAAGTGTGAATTTCGACACCCAAGTAAAACGTTCATGTGGTCTGCATACATCTGCTGTCCGGTCAAAGTCAAAAGGTAAGCAGAGCTGCATGCGGGTTTGTTGGGAGACACAGATGATTAGTTGAAGAAAAAAAGGCACACAGATTGCTTGGGGTGTCATACTTGTGGGTGGCAATAATTAACAAGTGCATCAAGGGCAATGTATGAAGTGCTGCGTCCACAAACGAAAATACCATTGCCGATAAAGCTCCGCAGATACGACAGAGTGCATCACTGTGTGTCGACATGGAGTGCTGGCAGATACAATGTGACACAAACGTTTTTTTTTTAAAGATACTATAAGGCAAGATATTTTGAGGGTGAGATATTTTTGATCCCACACTTCCTAAGCGGAGTCACTGATCGAGCTAAAAGAAAAAAAAGTATCCAAGGCTGTCAGCAACAAGTTTCTGTAGCGAGCCGCCCTCTGTTTGTATTCACCACTCCCTTCCTCCTATTCTTTGCCGGGTCTATATTTAGCTCTCGCAAAGGTTGTCTGTGACTCGGGGGCACGGTGGTGATGCAGAGAGGCGAGCGGGCCGCGCAAAACGGCGACGGCTGGCTGCCATCCCGGGTGGCGGGTTATCTGGATGGATCAGCCTGTGCGCAGGAAGTCGATGGCCACGGAGAAGAAGGGGGTTGGGGTGGGGGGTGGGGGTGGGGATCTCCCTGACGTGGAAAGTGTGGGAAAGTCAAGTTCCAAAGGGAATAAATAAAAGACACATCCAATCTAAATGAGGACCCCGGAACACAGATACATTTGAAAAAACTGTTGGAGGTCTCAAAAAAAAAAAAAAGTGCATCTGTTGGAGCGAGCGTTCGCACCGCCTCAATAAGAATCGGCGCGATTTTAAGCTTTCCCGGCATTCCGGTTTTTCATGATCTCAAAAGGTACGGGTGGCCAAAAGATCAAATCGCGCAAACTCGGCTGGTTGTCTGCTCTCGGCCGAAGGCAAATGGAGCACCTGTGCCCATGTGGATCACGTGGTTCAATCTGACTCCTGAGCTTGTAATTAGCCCTTTTCGAGGCTGGACATTCGGTGGCTCGGAGCCAGAGAAGAAGTCTGAAAACCAGCGGGGAGTGTCGGGAGGGAAACGGGATGGAA